TTAGCTTCGGGTATTTGCGAATATCTTTGGTCTAAATTTGTGAAGGAAATTGCGACATTTGTTAAAAAATAATTAAAGTTTATGCGTTACATGCATAAAAGGCTTTTATTTTAATGACAATAATAAGTAGTGTTTAAGTGAATGTCCTAATGGATTTTTCGAAAACTAAGAAACTTAGAACTGTGAAAAGCTTTTATAAGGATGTATTTAATAAAATAATCCTAATACATGTTCTCAATGCGATACTACTAATGGATTTAGAATGACTTTAGATAGTAAATGCAGTTTGTGTTAGTTTCCTTGTTTCATATGTCATCCTAATAATTTAGCTTAATGTTTTGTTTGTGAAGGAAGTTATTTAGTAAGTATTGACGGTAGTTGTGTAGAGAAATGTCCTGAAGCTAGTTATTATTCTGATAGAATTAAAAAGTGTTTAAAATGTAATAAAGGATGTTAAAAATGTGATTATACGGGTTGCAATGAATGTTATAATGGTTATTATGTTTATTACGATAATAAATCTTGTATTAAATGCGCCTATAAATATCTAAATTGTCAAACATGTGATTATTACTAGTGTAATAAATGTATTGACGGATATTAATTGAATTAAACTAAAAAAAAATGTATAAATACTTCTTCAGATGAGGAATAAACAGAGGAAAATACTGAAATAAAATGCCCTTAGGGATGTAAGTAATGTTCTTAATCTGGAAAATGCTTAGAATGTTAAGACGGTTTTTATGATTATTCCAAAGATAATCCAAATATTAATACTATAATATGTCTTAGTTGTAGCATTAAATTCAATAATTGTAGTTCTTGTACTTCAAGTTATTGCTTAGAATGTGTTACAGGATATGAATATTATGATTATGAAAATCTATGCACAAGAGTAACTGAAAATTATAATAATACTATTTGCAACAAAGGATGCACTTCTTGTAATTATAATGGAATGTGTGTTAAATGTTCATATGGTTATTATTAAGATTTTATATATATATAAATTTATAAATATAAATTATGTTATGAATGTAGTAGTAAATTCATAAATTGTTTAATATGTGATTAAATTTAATGCACTTAATGTAATTCTGGATATAATTTAAATAAATCTACATAATAATGTGAAATAATTCCGCCTTCTAGATTTTTAATTTAAGCTTAAGGCGGTAATTAATAATAGAGTATTTATTAATGAATTGTTGCTTTTTTTATTTATTGTTTTTTAATGGATTAATATTTTTATAATTGTGAAAAAAAGTTAGTTAGTTTTTATATATTTTTTTCAAGCATATGGAATTGTATTATGAAAAAATTACAGAATATAATTAAAAATAAAATGTTTCAGATAAAAAGTAATATTTTTATAATTTAAGTTATTGGAATATTTCTTTTTTTAACTTTCTTAATTAATAAATATTATTTTTTAAAAAATTTATAAACATTTGGATTTTTAATTTTTAAAAAAAGTAATTCTATAAATCGAGTTGCTTAGATTTTTATTTTTTTGATATTGTTAGTTAAAATTTATTTTCAAGAAATAAATAATTAAATTTATATATATTTTTATAAAAAATTTCAATCTAAATTATACTTTTAAATTTATTTTAAAAAATAATTTTTAAATAAACAAAACTTTAAAATTAATTATGTTTTTTAATATTAAAATAACAATAAATCTTTTTTTTATTTTATAAACTAACTTAATATATTTTTTATAATTAAATTAAAAATCTATTTTTTAAAGAAAGATATACATAGATTTCATTTAACATTTTAGATTTTTTAAAAATGATTTATTAATTAAATATTAAATTTAGATTAATTTAAATATATTTATTTTATTTTTAACAATATATTAATATTTAAAATAAAGTTTGGTTAAAAATATTTATTCGGTTTTTTAAATTTTTAATTTTCAGATTTTATTTTATGTGATTTTTTATTTTTTTTATTAAAATTATTTTGAACTTTAAAAGTTCTATCTTTATTATTATTGTCTTTTTTAAAGAAAACTTATATTTTAAAAATTTAACATCATAATATTTTTATTTTCAACAAAAAAATATATATATTTATGATATTTTTACTTTTTTAAAAAAAATTCTATAATTTTTTTATTTTAATTCTAATTTTAAAAATATATTTTAATTTATTTTATATTAAATATAATATTTTTTAAATTAAATTAAATTAAATTGTTTTATTATTTTTATTTTCGTTTATATCATTAAATTAGTTTTTATTTTAAAGAGTTTTATTTTAAGACTAAATTTATATTTAGCAAAAATATATAAATTTTTATTTTAATAAAATAAAAATTCCTCTTATTTGTATGATTTTTTTTATTATTATCTTAATTTTTAAATAATTTTTTTTTAAAAAAAAATTATAAAAGCATTTTGTTTATTTTATTTTATTCTTTTTAATTTCTAAAGTAAACAATTTAATTTTATGAAATTATGATTGAATTTTAAAAAATTAATAAACTATAATAATATATATATATTTATAATTAATTATATAATTCTTCTATATTTAAAAAATCTATTTCCAGACAAAAAATAAATAAATTTAAATTTAATAAATTATAATTTATAATAAAATATATATGTATATATTTACTGAATTAAAAAAAAAAATGAAAAAAAGAAAAAAATAGAATTTCAATAATAAATTTGATAAAAGTAATTTTATTATTTATTTTTCAGAATCATATATTTACATTTTTATATATATTTATAGTAAAATAATATTATTCTTTTAATTTATTAAAAATTATCATTATAATCATAATAATCATATTCTAAATAAAATATATTCTTTGTTATTATTTACTATTATTTTTTAAATATTTACTTATCTAATTTTAAATATTTTATTATATTTCTTTTGTTTGAAATAAATTTCAAGTATATATTTGTTATTTTTTTAAATAAATGGTTATATAAAAATACAATTAGATATTTATTTTTTATGAAATTTCTAATATTAATTATTTAATAAATATATGCTATAATTCTGATTTAAATTTTTACATCACATATAACAAAATAAAAAATATGATTTTTCAAAAACTAGTAAATATTTTTTTTTTGATATATGATAAACTACTTTTTGAATATTAACTTATCACATATTAATAAAAATTTACAAAATCCTGTAACATTAGATAAGGATTTGGAAACAAATGTTCATGAAATTTTATATGTACTTGATTTATCATAAAGCTATATGTATTTTAATATAGAATTAGATTTCGGAAAAATAAATATAAAGTAATTTTAAAAAAACTAAAATTTAAAAAGTAAAATAAATAATTTTATTAACAACTAATAAAAACTTTTTAGAAATTGTTTTAGTTGTTAGATAGCTGTAGAAATTTATCTTGAAAACTATCTAAAATACTTTGTTAGAATATTTTAAAAAAGTATTTTAAATTGAAATCAGATAATTCGAATATTATTTATTTGGAAAAAATTATTATTTAAAATATAATTGTTAATATAAATAGAATATAAAATGTAATTTTTTTTATATAATAATTTAAAATTTTATTTTTTTATTTTAAAGACATTAAAAAAAAATTATTAATATTAATATTATTTTCTTTATATATTATATTAAATACGAAAAAACAAAGATTGGATGATTATAAAATTTATAATCGCAATAATAATTTAAATAAAATATCCAATAATTAAATTAACGACTCCTTAAATCAGTAATGAAAGCCTAAACTCATTAATAATTTTTTTATTATTAATTAACGCCTTAAACCTAAAGTAAAAATCTATAAGGCGAGGCTTTTTGCATTATTTTCAAGACTCATATATTCAACATCCATAAAGTGCATTAAGTTAAATCACACTATAAACATGAATAATATTACCTAATGTATTTAGTAAAGCATTAGACACATATTTTATATTTAAAATTTTTAATATAAACATAATCTTAAAAATAACTGAGTGAACATGTTATACATATTCCATTTTTGATCACAATAAATACATCCTTCATTGCAGTTGTTAGTACTATCCTTTTTAAAAACTTTAATGCATTTATCTTCATAATCAAAATAGTAATATCCAGATAAACATTGATAACAATAAGTTGAATAGCAAGAACTACAATTACTGAATTTAATGCTACAACTTAGACATATTATAGTATTAATATTTGGATTAACATTCTAAGCATTTTCCAGATTAAGAATATTACTTACATCCCTAAGGGCATTCTATTTCAATATTTTCTGTAATAGGGATTTCTTAGCATTATTTTTAAATATAATCGTATTAAAATCCAGAATTGCATCTACTGCAACTATTTCAGTACATTTATTACAATTTTTAAATTTAGTTCTACATTTAACACATGATTTACTTGTTTAATCTTCATAAAAGCCACCTTTACATTATATGCATTCTCCAGATTAAGAGAATTTCTTACATCCTTCAGAGCATTATATTTCAGTATTTTCCTCTTTTGATTCCTCCTCTGAAGAAGTATTTATGCATTCTTTTTTAGTATAATTCAATTAATATCCCTCCATACATTTATTACACTAGTAATAATCACATGATTGACAATAAGGATATTTATTAGCGCATATTAAATAATTTTTAGTTAAATAATCAAGATATTAATTATCATAACATTCATTACAACCCATATAATCACATTTTTAACATCCTTTATTACATTTTAAACACTTTTTAATTCTATCAGAATAATAACTAGCTTCAGGACATTCCTCTACACAACTACCGTCAATACTTACTAAATAACTTCCTTCACAAACAAAACATTAAGCTAAATTATTAGGATGACATATGAAACAAGGAAACTAACACAAACTGCATTTACTATCTAAAGTCATTCTAAATCCATTAGTAGTATCGCATTGAGAACATGTATTAGGATTATTTTATTAAATACATCCTTATAAAAGCTTTTCACAGTTCTAAGTTTCTTAGTTTTCGAAAAATCCATTAGGACATTCACTTAAACACTACTTATTATTGTCATTAAAATAAAAGCCTTTTATGCATGTAACGCATAAACTTTAATTATTTTTTTAACAAATGTCGCAATTTCCTTCACAAATTTTAGACCAAAGATATTCGCAAATACCCGAAGCTAAATTAGGAAAATATCCTCCTTTTTCATCACATTCTTTTACACACTAGTTTTCTTGCAATAATGTCATAAACTAACATCTAGTACACTCATTAGCTGATGGTCCTGTACATCTAGAACAATTGATATCACATGGTTCACATATTCCATCCTTTCCGAATGTACCAAAATGACAATCTAATTTGCAAGTATTATCTAGGTTCAAGAATTTGCCTTAAGGACATTAGTCTTATAAACAAGTATTAAGAACAATCAACTCCTCCAAACCCTTCTTAGCAGATGCATTGACCTTTTAAACAAATTCCTTTTTCAGAACAGAAATTTAGACATATAGGGGTATAATTACATAATCTTTCATAATCTTAAGGGCATGTGATTTAACCTTTAGCTTTTTAGCCACTTGAATCAATATCCTTTTTTATATTTTATTCTCCTTTTCGACATATAACTTATAAATTGATCTCTGAGAAAATAACAGTTATTTCCGAAGCATCGGAGGAACATTTAAATTAATGACATCTGAATTGATCTCGAAATTATGTATATTAGGATTCTATAGCTGTAGATTAGAAGCATTTACTTTGAGTTGAATAATTCGATAATTTTTCATATTCATATTTTTATCATCTTCACTACTTACACTATTAGGATTTGTACACAATCTATTAATATAGAAGTATATTAAATTACATTTTTCTGCGTATAATTCAGATACTCCAATACCGATTCCCTCGTATCCAAATGTACATTATTATTCCTCATATTTTTTAGGTTATTCAGGATATTCGATTGTACTTTAGCAAGCGTTTTCTAAGAAATCGCAGTCTTTTTCTTTTCCCCAGAATATATTATTGGCCATGTTCTCATTTGTTTCAGGGTAAAAGCCTGTATCTTTCAAAGCAGCAATTGTAAATATCGATAAGACACTACTAGTAATATATGCTTTAGTTCCAGTCATAATTTCATTATAAATAACAGTTCTTTCCCAATGGGAACTAATCGAAATATCTTTTTCCTAATTTATAAATTAATTTTTATAATATTTAAAAATGTATGTTTTACATCATTTTCAAGTTACATTCCTTCAGCTGATGGACAACTATAATATTTTCTAGTAACTTCTACTACGTTTTTGGAAGTTAAAAGAGTGGTTTATTTTCCTCTATAAGTTTTTGTTTTTTACAATTTAGTTTTAAAGTTATTTCCATAATTATATCTAGTATCAGGATCTATCCAAAAATACATAGCGCTTCCTGAAAAACCGAGTACATGTAAAATTTCATGAATAATTGTTTGTAAATTATCCTAAAAAGTATTTTTATTAATAATAGAATTTCTAATATTTATTAAATTAAAATTAATTCTTCCAAAAGTAGGTCTAAATTATCTATTGTTAGAATAAGCACAGAATCCAGCATTTGCAACCAAATGACGTATAAGTGTAAATCGGAATCAGGTATTCCAATTGTTTAATCATTAATAGGAACTGCAAAATCAATACAGATTCCTTTAAATATTTAATCAAAAACGTTATTTCCAATTAATGGGTATATTTTCAAAAGTTTTTAGAAATAAAGCTTGGATATATCAACAAAATTTTTTATGTAGCTTTTTTATTATTAGGTTACATCTCCTTAATCATAAAAGGTATAATCTGTAGTTATTCTTATAGGCTTAGGCTCGGAACCTTTTTAAAGGATACGTTAGCCATGGTTTTATTTTTCCATTTTTTCATAAGTTTTGTACATTTTCTAATAGTGATTTTACATTTCTTTACTGTCATAACCACATTTACGGTAAGTATGAGTCAATTTACATAATATCATGATATTTGTTAAAAAAAAAAATTAAACATTTTTTTATATTATCTATTTAATTTTTCTTTCAGTCAGTAATTTATATGTTTATATTTTCATTATATTTATCTTTTAAATCATAATAAAAATAATTTTTTATAGAAAAACTATTTTATTTTATTGGAAAACTTATTTTCAATAAATTAAGATTTACTATAAATTCTGATTTTATAAAATTAAGATTAATATTAATATCAATTAAAATCTAATATTATATTTAATTATTATCATAAAATATTATTATGTTAATAATAAATTATTTTTATTTTTATTTATTAATTATTAATTTTCATATTTAAAGAAAAAAATTTATAATTAAATATTATTTTTTAAATAAATGAGTTTCTTTCAAAAAAATATAATATTAAAGAATTTAATAATAAAATTAATTAGTATATATTTATTAAAGTAAATAAAATAAATTATTTATATTAATGTTATATAAATAATTAAATATAAATATAAAAAATATATTTTATAACCAAATTTTATTTTAATTTTCTTTTTATATTTTTTTTAATGATATAAAAGATTTTTATTTTATTTTATTGGAAAATTTTATTTATATAATATGATTTATAATAAATTCTGAATTTAATAAATTAGGATTATTTCTAATAAAAATTTAATTTTAAATCTATTTATTATATTATATATTTTTTTAAATTTCCTTGTTTATAAAAAAAAAAGATATAATTAAATAATAAATTTTTTAATGAATTTTTGTTGAGTATAAATTTATAAAAGAATATAATTAAATTTATTATAAAAAATTATAGAAATTTATTAAATATAAAAAAAATATAAATAATGTAAAATATATTTTAACATAAAATTATATTTTTCTATCTTTCATAGTTTTATTTTATGAATATTAATCAATAATTAATGATTTTTTATTTTATTTATATAAAAAACTAAAAAAAATTATATTTATATATGCATTAAATAAAGATTAATTACATATTTTCATAATTTTTTATGTTATTAATTAAATAAATAGTTTTAAATTAAAAATTATAATTCTTATAAAATAAATTATTTAATATTTGACAATTTATATATTATATTTGATATTATTTTTAGTTATAATTTTAATATTTTTTTTTTTTCATATTTTATATTCATTATAAATATCAATAATAAACTATTATTATAAATTATATTTAATTATATATGAAATATTATTTTTTTTATTTTTATCGAAAAAAAAAAAAAATTGTGATGTTCTATTATTCAAAATTTATATATAAATATTATTTAAATAAATATAAAAAATTATAAATGATATATTTTTATAAAAACTAATTTTATTTTAAAAATTAATTATTATATTTAATATTTTTTACTTTCAAAATTTTTATTATCAGTAAATATTTTTTTTAATAAAAATGATTTTAATTATTAGAATTTTTTTTTTTAATAATTATTTATTTTTAAGTATTTTGAATTAAAATCATTTATTTTTATGTTTTTAATCACAAAGTTAAATTTTAATGCATAATAGTATTTTAAATTATATATTTATTTTAAAGTTATAAAAGATATGATTAAAATATTATTTTTAATAGATTTATTTCTTAATTTTATATTTTTTTTTATTTATACAAAAAAAAAATATATTATGTTATAATTAAATTAAGATGAATAAAAGTAAATGTTGTTTAAAAAAAAAAAAAAACTTAAATATTTATAAATTAATAAATAAGAATATGCAATTTTTTATAAAAGATTCTCATTTAAATCAAATGTATTTAACCGAAATCCCGAAATCTTAGCAAATATCCTAAAATATTCTATTTATGTATTTTTGTAATGTGTTTAAACAATATATTCACAATCCTCGATGATGGAATTCTTCCAGTTGCTATAAATTAAATAAAGATTGCATTAAATATAATAGATTTAGAATTATGAATTTCCTATATATGGTATCGTGACTGATTTTTAAAACTGAAAATTTATATTTTAAATAAAATATAAATAAAAATTATATTTTTATGTTATGTTAATGTTTAGTTAGATGTAGAGAGAAAATAATAAACTAAAGTTAGATATTATTATTAAAGGGTGTTTTATCTCAATTAGTTTATTTTATAGAATTCTAAATTATTTTAGAAAAATATAATTAAAATATTTACTACTTTTAATAAAAATTTATATATATTTATTATAATTTTCCTATTATATTTAGTAATCAAATAATTTCTGGATGACTGATTAGTTAAAAAAATTTTATAATATAAGTTATCAATATTTTTTCTAGCTTATTCCATAATAAATTGACTAATCCTACCATTTGATTCCATTTATAGAGTAAAGTAACTCAAAATTAAGTAAATAAGATAACATTAACACTAACAAAATTATGTTTTATTTCCTTTATTTTATCATCTTTTACAACACATAAATCATGGTTTAATCCTTTCATATAGAATGCAATATTGATTTGGTTTCTATTAATTTTTGGAAAAGAAATGGTACTTGCTTGAGTTGAAATGATGTTGAGTTCTATAGAAACTGAATTTAGGAATTTTGTTAATAGTAGTAATTATTATATATTCATTAAATTAATAGAGTATTTATCATCTCCTTACATAGAAAAGGAAAGGATAATTAAATTAAACAATTAGAATATTTTTCATTTTAGTTTTTTCTTTTTTAATTTATTGTTATTAATCATAAAAATAAACACAAAAGAAAAATAATAATAGAAATCAATAATTTAAAAAATAATTTTAATTATAAAATAAAAAAATTAAAAAAAAGAAAATTTTGATGTTAAAAAGAAATCATTAATAATTAAGCAAATAAATAGAATAGTTAAAATAAAAAAAAAATCTTAGTTTAGATAATATAAACTATATATAATTAAAGAAAATTATAATTTATGTAATAAAAAAAATATTTAAAAAATATGCAGAATTAAATTAATGTAAAATTAATAGGTTTATAAAAGATTATAAAATAAAAATTAATTAAAAAAATAAATAATAAATTTTTATATATATTTAAAAAATTATATATATAAATTTAAAAAATTAAATATATTATATAATAATATAATAAAAAAATAATATAATAAAAAAAAATATAATAATTTAATAATATAATAAAATAATAATAACTTCTTAAATTATAATATATAGAGTATAAAAAAATTAAATATTTTTTAAATAATTATATACTAATCATATTTTTTTTTAGAAATAAATTAAATAAAAATATAAAATATTTATATTTATATTATTTAAAATAAAGAATATAAATATATTAATATTTTTTAATTTTAATAATTATATTCGTAATTAGAAATTTAGAAATATAATTTAATTTCTCAATAATCAATAATTTTTATGTTGAATAAAAAATTTTTAAGTTATTATATATTTATTATTATAATTATAATAATTAAAATAATTATTATATTACAATTTTTTAAATAAATAACTTTTATGAATATATAATAATTTAAATTCTTTTTTTATAATATATTAAATTTAAATGCAATTTTTACTTTTTTTATGATATAATTATATTACTTTATACCTTTATATTAAAATAAAATTAATATATTATTAGAATTTTTAAAATTTATTAATTTATTTATCTATAAGTTCTCGAGAATATAAACTAGTTTATATATAATAAAATATTTTTCTTTATTTATAATTTTTAATCTTTATTTATTTATTTTTATATATTTATATTATTTTTATTTTTTTTTATTTTTTTAATTTTTTTTATAAATAAAATTCTAGATCTATTATTTTTAAAAAATAATAATATTTATTTTAATATAAACTTTAAAAGATAATTAAAAATCTTATTATCTATTAAAAACTATTAAAAGTTTATTTTTAATGTAAATTATATAATATAAATTTAATTAATTAAACAGACGAATTTTATTAAGAATATAAAAATTTAAAAAAATATTTATATATATAAATATATATATATATATATATTTATTTATATATATATTTAAAATATTTATAATATATTTATTATGTTTTAAATAATATATAAGTATTTGATCATATTTTATGTACTTTTTATATATAAATTTATAAATAAAATATAAAAAATAAAGTTAAAAGAAATTTAAAATAAATAATTTTTATAAATATTTTATATAAATATATATTATCATTAATTTCCTTTTATTATTTTTTTATTTACTTTATTTAAAATATTATATTTCTTATATTCAGTTTAGTTTTATCATATAATATTTCATTAGCCTTTTTTTTCTTTTATAACTTTTCTTAGATTATCTTTACATTAAGTTAATTATATCTATAATATTTCAATTTAGATTTTTTTTAATATTAATTTAATAATATTATTCTTAAATCACATATATTAATATTATTTAAACTAAGAATATATCACAGTTTAACTTTTAAATTTATTTATTTATATTATTAATGATTTTATTCAAACTTCTTAAGAATTAATATTATTTTTTATACTTATTTATGTCTATTAATTCTATTAATTATTCTTCTTCAATATTTTTCTATGAAAGCTAAAAAAAAAAGGAAAATACTAAAAATACTCTAATAAATTAACATAATTATCTTTGTTCTTTCTCCTCAAATTAATTTTATGATTAATAAACATTAGGAGATGATAAATACCCTTTTAATTTAATAAATATTTAATAATTACTACTTATTCATAAAGTCCTCAATTCAGTTTCTATCAGCATCATTCCAAATAAAGCAAACATTATTTTTTCTCAGAAAATTAATAAAAAAAAATCAATATTATACTATATGTAAAAGAATCATACTATGAATTAAGAAATAAAAAATAATTTTTT